TAAGGAAGTGTCTAGTATTTTTCTTGTGTCTATGATTACGATAAAGTCGAATTGTATACTTACCTGCCCCAAGTTAATTTTAATTCATCAAAATTTTTGTTTGCACTTCTTATATTCATCTGGAAAATAGATATGCTCTGGTTTTTACTAAATTCATTAATTAGGATGTTATAGTCTGGGAGATCTTGGATTTCTTTAGTATCGGCTTGTTCAATTTTGAAGTCTAAGAGATAATTGTTCATTATTTTTTTTTATTTATTAGTTCATTAAGTTAAAAGTTAAGGGTTAAAATTTTAATTATTAAATATATCTGGATAAAAATATTATAGAAAAGGATAATAAAATAAATAGTTTTAATTATTTTGCGTTTTGTAATCTTGGTGAATGTCTTGGTCCTGGATTTTCAAGAGTGGGTTTTTTCGCAGAAGTTTCAGCAGGATTTTCTGACTCGTTGAGTTATCTTTTTGTTTGATTCTTATTATTACTTTCACTTGTTTGGCTTTGGATATTTTGTTTGGGTTGTATATTAGTTGTGTTGTTATTGGTACTATTATTGGAATTTGTTGTATTTCCAATTACAGGATTCTTTTTGGCAATTTCGTCGTATGTGTATGCTGTTCCTTCAACAAAGAGTTTTTGCCCATAAATATGTGATTTTTTATTATTTTGCTTCTCTTTTCTTAATTGTTCCACCAATACGTTCCTAACTATTCTTTCTTCTTGAGACAGTTCTTCTGTTATGCGTATATCTGTCCCTTTCAGCTTTCTGCAGCTTCTTAAAACTTTTTGTTTTGTAAGGTAAGAGACAAATTTCACTAATATTGGTTTATTATCTACACTTTTACCAAAAGTAATTATCGCATTAAAATCTTATTCAGTTAAGTTAATTAAGTTCTAGTTTTTGGTTTAATAGATCAAGAGTAAAATCTCCTGAGAATTTTGAGTTGAATATCACAATATTATTTATTCGCTGTTGCCTTTCCAATTGTTTATTCTTGGATTTAAGGTTACTTATTTCACTTTCTAGCTCTTCAATTTTTTTGCTGTCCTCTAGTAACAACTTCTTTATATTTGCTATTTCTTTAGTCAATTGATTAGTAATGTTTTCTGCTAGTTTGTTATTTTGTTCTTCAATAAAAAATTTTAAGTTTTCTAAAATATCGTTGTTAGTATTCATTTTTTGATTTTATTTTATGATAATTGGAATTTAATTTTTGTTTTTTCGTATTTTGCGCCTCTACTATAAACTTGAAAATCGTATTCTTTGTTGTTTATATTCGTCTTATACAGTATCGGTGTTACAAAATATGCATATTTTTCTTATTTTGATAGATATAGTCATATAGTACTCACTGTGTAAAATTCACAATTTTTAAACACTTTTTTCCACTGTTTTACATTATTTGTTTCGCACATATATCAGTAAAGGTCGTATCGCTACCGCTACTCATTCTCTTATTATAAATATTATAAATATAAATAGTCGACATTGCTTTTTTGGTGTTCCACTTAAAAAAAAACCTAACAACTTTATTAATGATTTTTTAAACTAAAACTGGATGAATTTCTAATCAAATTCATTAAAATGTAACTAAATATTTAAGTAAATTTTATTTATTTGAAAATAAACCATTTATAAAATTGTTAATTAACATTTAAAACAACAAAATATTCAAAATATTTTGGATATATTTAAAAGTGCTATTTCCATCTGAATATGTCCATAATTTGTGGTAATTATTCGGTATAATTTCTAATATTTTTTTTTTGTAAAATATATTTTAAATTGGTTGTAGGAAATCTTTCTGCTAGAACAAAGTTACAATTTTTTTTTTTTTTATGAATAGCCTTAATAATCTTTACTTATCTTACCTGCAAATAAACATTTAATTTTCAAAAGCCTTAAAATATACTTTGCTACATTTTACCTTTATTTAATTAGGAAATCCATACAAACAACTTATGGTAATCTTGTAGTTTAATTGAAACAAGATGTTACAAATAAAATACTAAACCTATACCTATAAATACAAAAACAAACATTATTTTTTTTGTACCTGCCAAAATTCTGCTTTTTTAATAAGCTCTTTTTTCACTACATATTTTTCAGTTCCTTCAAAAAGGACTCACATACCTATTTATCTAATTTTTCCATCAAATTGAAATACCTACTATTTGCTTTCTTTTCTGTTATTATAAAGATATATAATTTCCTAATCATAGTTTCTTGTAAAACAACGAATAAAATATCGAATTAAAACTTAAAACTTGAAATGTAAACAAATACTTTGTATTTTGTTGGGTCAATGCGTGATATTTACTGACCTTTTGTCGCTGCTCTGGTGGTTCTCTTCCCATCATACTGGTGTGAGCTGCAATATGAGACGAAGTGCCGAAAAAATAAAATTACATTTAAAGAATAATTGTTAATAAAGGACTGAATAAGCACAATTTAGTGTCATCTTTATTCGTTGGTTATCTAAAACTTTGACTTCAATGCATTCATAACAAAGTTTTAACAAATTTTTTAGTTATTTTTCCCTGTGCAAATAGGACTTTTCAATTCGCTCCTCCGCGTTAAAAAACAGAGTAAAGTAAATAATATTATACTTTGTACTTAATAGCAATGTGAACTAAATACTTGTTATAGAATTGCAAATTCTGAAAACAAAGAATAATTATTATTAGATATTATAATTTACTCCTCAATATTTCAAATATTTTAACTGGTATATCAAAATATACCTAATAACAATAAACAAAAAATAACCGAACAAAAACATTTATGATATAAATATATTGAATATAAATATTAATATTTGAATTTATGCAAATATCGAAAATCTGCACACAATATTCATTAAAAGATTAAAACATTTTTTAAATTATTAAAAATAATATAACGTTCATATTGGACGTGAAGTACATCGATCAAATGAAATTATTAATTCGAAATGTTTTATTCAGAATGAAAATATTTAATTTTTTACCTAAATAGGTTATATTACATTACAAGAGTAGTAAAAAGCTAATTACATGCGAGCAGAAAAGTTGTGCACAAGCCACGTCAGCGGCGAATGCAGTAATTCTACGGGCATGTAATTGGTCTTACAACTCGACTAATGTACTATACTTTATCTTCAATCACAATCATACATTCATAATAACTAGAAGGCTTTCATCTTATATAATATAAAAATGAATCGCAAAATGTGTTGGTAAGCGCATAACTCAACAACGCCTGGACCGATTTCGCTAATTTTTTTTTTGTTGTATTTGTTATTGTCAGGAGAAGGTTCTTATGAAAGAAAAAAATTAAGAAAATTGCGCGGAAAATCAGAAAATTTTTATATATATATATATATATATATATATATAAAAATGAATCCCTATTTCCCTTGATCACGGCATCACGCGTAAACGGCTGGACCGATTTCGCTAATTCTTGTTTTAACACGCTTATATTAGCTTCACCTGTATGTAGGTTTGTAACTCTTCTTTGGCCTAAAAGCAAGTGGCTTATTACTGTCAGTATATCCCACTACCTCAAGTTCGTTCGTTGGCCGAGCGCTCTAAGGCGCGGGTTTTAGTTTAAAAAAATTAAAAAACACGCTTTTAGAGCATATCAAACTAAAAAGTTAAAAATAATTTTTTTAACACGCTTTTATTCAAATAAAACAATAATAAATAAAAAAAAAATACTAGTATTATTGTGAAAAAAGCGCGGGGCGCTTTGTACATATTTCTCGTACATCGAGCGCCCGTATTTTCCATTTATTATTGTTTTAAGTTTATTTGAATAAAACCATCTGATTGCTTTTTGAGGTATGCTTTTAATTTTGTGTACGTTTCAATATTCACTTTATTTTTTGTGGAAATGACGATCCTTGACATGGAATACATTGCCTATAATGATGAAGGTTTGAATTGTTCCATAAGTTTCCTAAAATATGCCAGAAGCACATTCTCATAAAATTAATTTACATTGTTTTCTATACGTCCGTCCATAAACTTTCGATATACTATCAGTGTTTAAGTGATTACAACGATAGCGTCTTCAACTCATGGATGTAAAAGCCAAAGTCAAAACAATTTAGAATTACATTTCATAGGTTAAAATATTAGAGAAGTAAATATAACTACTGTTAAACTAGAAATATTTTTTATAGTAGTTTACAAGTCCGTAACCTAGATCTTTACATGCGAGCATGATCTTTAACGTGCAAGCGCTAGCGAGCACATCATGACCGTGCAAGCACGTAGATATCAAGTAACGTGCATGTATCGTACTTCATTTTATAATACACTGTAATTTGTTACGTTTCAAATGTACACGGGTCAGGGGTCACATAAAATTTTATTATTTGATATATTATTACAAGTTTCCGAATGAGACTTAAAATAATGACTTCAGTCACAACTAATAACAGATAGTTCGGTCACAACTATCCAATATTGGAAAAATTAACAAAAATTCTTGCTAAAAAGTTATAATATAGTTTTCAATAAAAATTAATGGTTGTTGCTATGGTTTTTTTAAGTGATCGGTAATCATGTTTACCTGTCTAGCCTGTTATGCCTCCCTTAACACCCATAAATAGAGATTGTTAACCACAGTATAACAGGTAAAATTGAATAATATTTCATATTAAGTTTGAAGATATGTAATAAAATCTAGAGAATAATTTACTTAATTTGAGGGAAAATAGTTGATATTTTCATTTATTGAAACCTTCAAAATGCTAAATATTTTATCCCATGGACTCGCGATAACCCAATATAGTGCCAATAGCGTTACACAGAATGATTAATTTTATTATAATAATAGATATTTTCAAATAATATATTAACAAATTTTTATTAATTATGGTCTATTTTAGATTTTTTAAAATTTAAAAAGAAGTTCGGAGTTATGTATCCCCTTATTTTCGTTAAAGTTAACAATACTTCTTCTTGTTTTTTGTTACTATTTTATAAACCCCGAGAGTAAAAACACTTACCATATTCATAACTGTCATAACATACAACTCGACATCGTTATTTTTGTGATGCGTTAGAAACTTCTTATCGCCCACAACGATCGTCTCTAAATATCTATGTTCGCTTGTAACACCTCGTTTTTCCTCTTTTTGATTTTCCATAAATTTTTCCCGGAAACTATTTTTCCACGCTTCTCTCCAATCGCCTGTGGTGCCACAATGGACGCTTCGCTTGTCAACATGGTGGTCTTGGTGGATGACATGAAGGTGATGGCCCTCAGCGTTCGGTTGGTGGTGCTCCATGGGTTCTATAAAGTATCGCTTGTTGTCTATTGTAACGTAACCTGCCTACAAAAATATTTAAATTATTAGGAAGTCTATAATAATATATTATGCAATAAGTGTGGTGAGTAGATTATTAAAACACAGTGAAATTTGCTTACAAGGAAGAAAATTGGATGTAGTTATGCAGAAATGGTCCAATCCACAAATCTACCAGAAATGACTTGAGTAGCTTTTCGATATGTTGCAGTTCAAAATTATATTCTGCTGAAACGATCCAACAATTTAGAAGGATATTAATAGTGACAATCATAAATAATCGTTATATAATATTCTATTTTCATCTCGTAGATAATTTAACTTTAACATAATTTTTCTCAAAATATGGTTTGGGTGGATTGGATCATTTCTGCATAATTATGTCCAATTAACCAAACAAAAATATGTCAGAAACCGAAGTAAGTTTTGAAAGATAATCAATTAATTGAAGGTAGTAATCAAGAATCTATAAAAAATGCCGGAGTTCCAGAAGTTATGAGCTATTACCAATTGTACTTCTATTCTAGCAAAGATAAATCTGGCAACGCGGCGATCGAGTACAGTTTCGGTATATTATACTCATGTGTTAGTACACTTTTTTGTTTTGCCATATATTTTTTTTTTTTTTTGAAAAACCTTCAGATTAATTGTAACAGTTTTTTAAAATTAATTATTAAAAGTGTGTATTGAGCCGAAAGATTGTGGTCTTTGTGATAAACTCTGTAATCTTAACGAAATAAAGTGCTTTTTGTTGTAACATCAGTAGATCTCGCGTAATAGCAACATTATATATCTTCTTGTGTTGTTTTTGATCGTTTAATTAAAATAAGTATCTTGTGGCCTATTTTTTACTCGTTCCAAGGTGAATAATACCTTTATTAATTATTCCTAGTACATACCTGTTGTATTTTTGTCTAAGTATAATTATAAAAGTGTTTTAAAACAAGAACAGGGTGGGAAGGTAATATACGTTTTTCAATTTTCAAAGGATGATAATTTAAGACATAAAATAAGTTAATGCAATTCCTAGGGCTAACTGTATTCCTTCAAAAACAGCAGTAGTTTGTTGTAAACACATTTCTAAAAGTTAAATTATACGGGATGTGCATTATTTCCAACCCGTTGAAAATTTAATACGAATTCTTATAAAAGCGACTCTCTTAACTTTGAAAGAGATAAAACTGGAGAAATTAACTTTAATCTGTTAGTTGGGAGGGAGTCCGACAAGTGTAAATCTATGGCGTAGGTATACTGTTTATATGTATTGTTCACGTAGTGTGAGTGGGTGAGTGATTGAGATAGAAATGGTGTATATGATTTTTGTTTAAAATACATGAAATTGTAACATTTTCCGGTGCAGAAAGGTAGTAATTTATCACGAGTTAAAAGAGTTTCACATTTCTCAAACGAGTGCACGTTTTACATACTATACCTTTTCTACAACACTTTTTGCTAAAAATAAAACTAATTTAAACAAATAGTAATAGTTAATAAATTATATATATTGTTAAAGTTATTTAGTTAACGCTATCTAGTTAATAAAAATTGATGGAAAACAAAATATTAAAATAATTGATTCGTAGCAAAATTAAAAAAAAACAATATATAGGTGGATAGAATTTATTGTAAAATGGGAGCAATTTTGAAATTTTGAATAAAAATTTTGGAAAAGTCAGGTTTCGACATATTTTTTGTAATATTTAACCCTTAACCTGACACATCCACATTTGGAGTCTGAGGGACTTCTATGATTTTTAACCGCCATTTAATTGGCTATAATTTTAATTATGATAAATTAACACACATATTTGTCAAAAAATGTATTTTCTTGAAATACAAGTACATTTATGAAAAAAAAAAAAAAAAAAGAAAATACATAAAATTTTTAAAAATAAATGAATACCATATTTATTTCTCAACACATTCTCGACAAATCTTTTCTACGGGGCTTAAACAAATGGGATTTTTGCAAGATGTACATAAATATGATGTCTTCTTCTTTACTCTCGCTGGACATAGCTTACAATATTTTCTTACAGCTAATCTCTCTTCAGCTGCTTCATCAAGGTTTGTATTATGTTCGAACGGTATTTTGAAAATGTCACAAATTTTAATTTTTATTGCTGCAGGTACATGAGTCATTTGGGATCTTTCTTTTAAATGTGGTGTTATCAAAGTATTGGCATTTTTTTAAAGAAATTGTCGCGTGACTGGCACCACATCTTTAAATGAGCTATATAAAATATAGCTATTTACACCACTGATATCAAGGATCGTAAAAAAAATGTTCATTGGCCAGTGTCGGGATCTTGTTTGAAGAATAATTGGCAATTTTTTGGTCCATGGTGTCTACCCCTCCTTTGGTCGTATTGTAATGCAGTAAAATTTCCGGTTTACCAGTCTGGGGATCAACTTGTTTAGCATGGTGCATCGAACATACAAGAACAACCGCTTTATTTCGTTTTGGTACATATGAAACCATTAGTATCACCATAAAAATCAAAAAGACTTTCTCTATTTTTTCTGGGTAAAAATTCTTTTGGAATTGCTGTTTTATTTTTTTTTTTTTTCATCGTTTCGACAAATGTAAGATTTCTTCTGCGGAGCTCTTCAACCAGTGGCATAGAAGAAAACCAATTATTAGAGGTGACGTTTCTATTCGTTCCGTATATTGGTTTTGTAAGACGGATAACTGATTGACATGGTATTGGAAGACGTTTCTCTTCTGCACTTAAAGTTCTACCATGACTGTCTCGGTAATAGCATCCATAATAGCTTGAATTTTAGTGCCATACTTTGCTAGTTTTTTTGGCATAAACATGCAAAATTCACTTATCCCTCGGAATGGTATCAATATTTCATCTACGCAAGCATTGTCCCTTATGGAATAACATTTCTGACAGTTGGCAAAAAATAAATTGAAGATGTTTTTAATTGGAGCTGCTGGATCATCCGCTTTTCTTTCTTCTCTAGTAGATGGATCATCAAATCTGAGACATAATAAAATTATTTCAAACCGGCGTCTGTTCATGGATGCCCTAAAAATGTTTTTGTCTCAACTACCTGTTGCATAGAAACTGTCCAAAAATTCGTTTGAGCTTTTAAACACCTCAGTGTAAAAGCGAATCCCCAAAAAAGCGTAAAACTCGAATATATCTAGCTCACGAAGATTAACGTTTGCATTGTCCTCTTTATTACTTCTTTTTTTTTGAGGCGTTTGTTCTGTCCAGCGCATAAATCGGATCAAATGATTAAATGCTGTTTATCCCTTAGAGCTTGCTCATTCAATTCAGTGAAAGTGCACAAAACCTTAACCAGAATTTTAGTTGTCTCGTTCGTTTAAATGTTAACTCACTAGAGCACATGTGCTCAAGTGCTCAACAAAATTTCTAGGAATAATGATTGATAGTAAATTAACCTGGGAAAGTCATATTGATTACATATCAGGAAAACTGAGTAGTATGTGTTTCTTTATTCGTCAACTTAAAAGCACATTTAGTTTTGATATTCTCAGATTGGTTTACCATGGTTTTGTTGAATCGATTTTTTCTTATATTTTGAGGATGTACTGCGAACATAAAGTATTCGCATACAGAAAATTTTTTTGCAGTGTCTCATCCAGAACAAGTTGCAAGCATCTTATTATGGATTTATCGGTTTTAACCATTCCATCTCTATACATATTTCCACTAATATTATCCAAATTTGTAGTAAATAGGGATAGACATTACCATTTCTCCCGCTCACAATGACATGTATAACAATCTTCTTCTAGACTAACTGTTAGCCAAAACTCCCATATATATACAGGAGAATAGCTAGTTTTAATAAATTTACAAATAACCATGGGGATATTAGATATTTTAGATTGTTTAGAACGAGTCTATATACAATAATATACATATCTGGCTACGAATACATTTTATAGTTTTGATGAATTTTTGAATTCTTTAATTTATTTGGTATACTTTCAATTTGTATATACGTATTATAATTGTGTAAAATTTTATAGATTAATATTTTCGTTGCCAGAATATCTTGGGATGTGATTATTGTATTATATTTTCACAAATTCTAATTAATATTTTTTTGCAAATTTTATGACTATACATTCATATTTAATATTTAATTAATTCGTTATAGGACATTTACCAGTATTTCAAATTCCAGTAATATAATAATTTCGTAATAAAATATTAAAAAAATCTCAATTTTTATAAGATATTTCCTTTCATATAACCAATAATAAAATTTGCTAATTTTGCTGATTTTACAAACTGTTGAAAGTACAAATCAAATATCATTAGTTGTATTAAGTTGATGAATATGCAAAATCAGCAGATGAGTCTTGAAGGTAAATGTTCTAACAAACAAGATTCATTCGTCATTCATTCCTGAATCCTGAGCAACAGCTAAAAGTTCCGCGGATTTTTATAAAATAAAAACGATAAATAAAAGTAAAAACGAAAAAAGGATTTGTGGAGCTGCCTCAAATAAATAATGCGGTAAGCATTCATATTTTTATAATAATTTTGTGTGTATTAGTTTTGTTAAAATTCTGGGTTTTAAAAATTTTGTGCTTTTAGTTTGTACATTTTTTTGTATATATCTACTTGGGAATTAATTTTTAAACTAATAAATGTGTTAGTTTTTATCAGTCATTGAATTTCTATTTTCCAACAAGCAGTAGGTGACAGTAGTTAAAATAAAATAGATTAATAAGTACTCCTCACCAGATTGTATTTTGGGTCAAACGGACTTTAGCCAAAGATAGGAGAAGTCCGAGCTATGTAGAATATACCAAAACCCCGAAAAATCTACACTAACACAGTGACATATCACGACGTGTTAAGGTGCTCTGCAGTAGAAAACGCAGCGTTATTTGTATTGTTAATTTCTTCTGTAAATTTTTCTCCAAATTTTTTTTTGTTAATAGGCAGGTATTTATCGTTGGAGCTCTGGACAATATGTCAATACACTAACTATTAAAAGTCGATTTTAACATTGATCATAGCAGTACACATTGTAGAATCTTATTTTATATGGATAGTTCTTCAAGATAATTAATATATTTTTTAAAAGGTTTTAGTTTTATATTTTTTTTCCTATCCATAAACTTTTTGTTTGTAGTTTTACATTTTTCTCTTAAAATTAAAGTTTTAATTTCAGAAATATCACTATTCATTTAAATTGAATTTTAATTTAAAACTAAATGGAACAGAATTATTGTACAAATATTTTATTATTGATAAAAAAACGTTCGGTTACCTAGCAAAGTCTAGTATTTGTGGGTATTAGAAAGAACAATAATAATGTCTATGATTTTTCGTTAGAATATTATTAAACTGTACAGAGAAATTTTGCGGCACAGAAATCTCACCTTCCGGTACGCTTATGTCATATTTCAGTTATTGTGAGAAATAATCAAGTTTGCGAACATAAAACTATACAGAAATAGCGATTCTGCCAGTGTAGTTGTAGAAAAAATACTTTACCAAACCATCACAAGTAGATATGGCAGCTCTGGAATCCCTTTGGCCTCGAACGACCCCCGTATAATGGCAAACCCTTTCTCGATCCAACCTCTTCACTCTCTCGGTCTCTTTTCTCAGTTTCGGATCTCTGTGCTCCACAATCAGATCCGGAGAAATGAAGTTGTGATTGGGCCAGAGATCGATATGGTAATCTTGGCCGTTCAAGGTCACGCCGTAGTGGACCATGTCTGAGTCTTCCAGCGTTCTTTTCCTGCGGGATTCCGACGGTTCGTATTGAAAGAAGTGAGGTAGGTCGAAAGATACGAACTCTCCGAGTGAGTTGATTTTATGGGGCACGGTTAAATTGTAAGTGTGTATAGATTTCGTGTATCGACCTGCAATTAAAAAAGTATTTAAAATGTTACAATAGAATAATAATTAGTGTGGGATCTCTAACGGTTTCGGTGTCATAATAAATAACATTTATTTCACGGACATAAAGTATAAATTTGATATACATGTAGCCCTAATAATATAATTACTCGTAATTAATACAAGATAAATAAGAGAAGTTTAAAAACCTACACAGACTTAAACTATACGAGGTTTCAATTTGAGAACCAACAGCATTTATTATTGCCTTTACCAATGATAGTATGGAAATTTGGCGTTAAAACCACGTCAATTATCATATCAAGGAGGACAATTGTTGAGGCATTTGTTGTCGTATAACTTTTAATCCCCTGACTCCCAGGTCACCTACCCTCAAAATTTTAAATGACAAACCCTATTTTTTACCATTTTTGTGTTCCTTATGTAAGGCTAGATAAATTGCATTATTATTTTTTTGTATCTAACCTCACAAATTTGCGGAATTATTTTTATTCATTTTTAAGCCTAAAAATGTAAATTATTTAAAAATTATGGAAATTATTAAAATGGCTTGGACGCCCAGCGATCTATTTATAAATCGCCATGTTAAAAGGGGTCAAAAAAATCAAAAAAATTGCTGTAAATACTTATATAGTCACATAGAAATGACCTTTATAAATATTTATATAAGATATACCCATTTTACCCATTTTTTTTCTTTATTCAGTTTTGAAAGGATACCACATACATATAGAACAGTTTACGAAATAATTATGACATAAATATGACATGGCCGTTTCATAGTAAAACACAATTTGTTTAAAGTTAATAATATTTTATTTAGTAGTTCTTAAGGTGAAAAAACTTTCTTTTATAAGACTTCCTTGAAGAGGTTGAACCCTTAGAATTGTTCTGAATGCTACAACAATAGTCAGCCATCATGTGTGCGTTCCAGTAGCCTTGATATCGTTTCTCCATCCTACGAAGGTCCTGGTGGAATGGCTCGCCCTATTCTTCACTTAGATCCCCAAGAATAGCGGGAAAATATTCTAGGTGGTTGTAAAGAAAGTGCAACTTGATGCTCATATTACATCCAAGGGTTTGAAAGTAACTCATTAGTTGTTCAACGTGTTTAGAATAATTAGAACTTTTCTTATTTCCCAAAAAAAATTGAACAAGCCAAACAAACTTATTTCATGCGTTTTTCTCAATTTCTGTCATAGAGTCCGCAAATTTTGTATATTTTATTAATGTTCTTATCTGAGGCCCATCGAAAATGTCCGCTTTCATCTTTTCTACACTCAGTTTCGGGAATGTTTTTGATAGAAATAGAAAACAATTTCCAGTTTTATTAAGATCTTTGCCAAACTGTTTTATAAGCCCTAATTTTATATGCAACGGAGGCAAAATAATACGATCTCTTAACATTATAGGTGGGTTTATCACGTTTAACCCAATGTTGATTTTTAGCTCTACTATCCCGCAAGAAAATAAAACAAGGATACTTTGTGTAACCACCTTGCTGGCCTTATATAAAGTTGACCATATTTAAATCAACACATATGATCCAGTTATTTTCCACATATTTAATTTTGTCCAAAACTAGAGCAATAGTTGTATATTCTTCTTTTACTTTTGTAGAATGTGCAATAGGTAACGACCTTAATTTATTCCCATTGTGTAACAGAACACATTTTAGACTCCGTATTGTCTATGAATAAACGCCACTAACTAGAAACATAATTTTGTAATCCCATTGCTGCCATTAATCCAGGAAAATCTTTACAAAATACGAAATATTTGAGGAAATTCTATTCTCTTGTGCGGTAATAAGAAATTTTTGTTTCTTTCGTTACCAATTTTCTTTCTTTTAGCCTTGAAGCCAAACTTTCTGAAGCTGACTTTGACAGTCCCAGATCTCTAATTAAGTCGTTTAAAACATCTTGTTGAATGGTTTTGATGTTCCCAGGTCGCATTCAAAGTCACTATTACTACTGTCGTTTTTCGTGTCAAAATCTTCTGGCTCTTCCTGTAAAGTACCACATTGAGGTTCAGGTGTAGATTTAGGGCTCAGAACACGTGTATGTGCCGATTGTATGGAAGGATATTTCTATTTGGTTCGATTTTTCTGGTTAATACGAGTTATATTCACCAAACAAAAATAACAATCGTCATGGTGATTCATGGGTTCATTCCAAATCATAGCGGTTTTGTACCTAAAGCTATGTCTTTTCTTATTTGTCCATAAACGTAGGAACTCAACGCATGTTTTGCATACCTTTTGCGGAATCCAAGGCTTATTCTTCATTTCTAGCGAGTGCCCAAAGTAAGCCTCATTTACGAACGTTGTCACATTTAAACGGTATTCTTTAATTACATATTCTCCGCAAATGAAACAAAAATTGTTTGAATCATTTACACATACTCTTCTTGACGATGCCATATCAAATTACAAAATAAAACAATATTTTAAGAGACGCTAAAATGGTGGTTCCCATCTTATCGAGACTGAGGCCCACAAGAGTAAACTCGTAGTGTAACAAAAACGAGAAATGATTTATCTCGGAACGAAATATAGAAAGCCGATAGTAGTATTAGCACGTTGAATTTTTTGGTTTGTGAAGCATTGGCATTACTTAGGTTAAACCGTGTGATGATTAAGTGACAATATAACTGCCGAAACATTAAAAGAAATTCGTACAGAACTTCCTTCGCCACTCTGCTTTATTATTAATCTAATTATAGAAAATGGAATCTGTCCAATAGAATTCAAGTCTGCAGTTATAAAACCTCTTCATAAAAAGGGAAATAAACAAACTCTTACTAACTACAAACCTGTTTCTATAATAAACAATTTCTCAAAAATTTTTGAAAAAGTAATGAAGATAAAATTAGAATCTTTTTTTAACAATAATAATATTATTTCTAAAAATCAATTTGGGTTTCGCACAGGTATTTCTACAGAACATGCAATATTATACTTAACAACAAAATTATATAAGGCTGTTGACTGCAGCTGTCCGGCCATAGGGGTATTCCTCGATCTTGCAAAGGCGTTCGATACTGTGGACCACTCGCAGCTGTTGGATTCTTTGCAGGATATGGGAATACGAGGAGTTGCACAAAAACTGTTAGAATATTATCTAATAGGAAGAAAACAATGTGTTAAAATAGATAATAGTATAAGCTCGGAAAGGATTGTTCAATGTGGCGTTCCTCAATGGACATTTCTTGGTCCCATTCTCTTTACAATATACATTAATAATCTACTTACACTTATAACTTCTGGAGAGATAACAAGCTTTGCAGATGATACTGTCATCTTTTATACTGCAAACACCTGGAATGGTCTGAAACAAAAAATTTAAAAAGATATAAGTAATATTATAGCTTGGTTTAATTACAAATTGCTTACAATAAACTTCGATAAAACTATGTTTCTACCTATAACAAGCTATAAAAATAATCTTCCTAATTACAACAAGCTAGAAATCAACAATCATGGTAACTTAATAAATATTGAACAAACGGATAAAGTAAAGTATTTAGGAATAACTATTGACAACCATCTCTGTTGGGACTATCATATTACTAGTGTTACAAAAACTCTTAGGTCATTACTAGGTAAATTCAAATTTTTAACAAAAATTTTGGACTTACCTCTTCTTAAAACACTATATTATGCATTGGTTGATTCTCGCCTCTCCTATGGAATTGTAGGATGGGGAGGAGTAACATATACTCATCTAAAAAAGCTAGAAGTAGTCCAAAAATTATTTTTAAAAATAATACTTTAGAAAAATAGAACTTACTCTTCGAATGCTCTTTATAAAGAGGCAGAGATCATAGATTTAAGGCAAACATTTTTCTTATATATGTTTATTAACTAAAGAAAAATATTCGTTGGATTTAAAACACATATGTCATTGTCATAAAACTAGAAGTAAGGATTCCGGAAAATTAATGATACCAATTGACAAAAAAACAATGGGGCATAAAAGTCTTATGTTTTTGGGACCTAGATTTTTATTTTTTACCAAAGGAAATATGTTTCTCAACTTATTCGGTATTTTATTTTAGGAAAAAAATTAAATTCTTTTTAATAAATATACCAAGGATAGATATTCATAAATTTTTTGATTTGTGAAAACAAATTAAACAATGTGAAAATATAAAATGTTAATTAGTAAGATGCACTTAAAAATGTAAAAATAAAATAAACAAATAAACCCAGCCCACAGACAGCTTTGGCTTTGTGGGAATTATTTTCTGTTTGTGTTTAATTTTGTATTTTTAGAAAAATTAAAATGATAAATTTGAGTTTAGTTGTAATAATTGATGCAAATAAAGATTATTATTATTATTATTATTATTATATTTTCACAAGCCTTGATTGTTAAAACCATTCTATATCGCCTTTTGATTAGGGTTTACAAACTTGTTCGAGCAATTTATCCAATAATAATTGGCCCCTTTACCTCTTAAGCCTGCTCATGTAACATATTTGGGCTTCTTACTTGGCCTATTTATATTCTATTAATAAAGGACAGAAGGATGAGTATTGCAACTATGTTAAAAGAAATAAATTGGCTTTCAGTTCAGAATTATGTTCAGTACATGACTGATATTTAATTATAAAATAAAAATGACAGTACCATCGCATTAGATCTATTAGAAAAAATTCAATATAATTCCCAATATCTTAACTATAATACAAAAAACCAATCTGACTTTCATGTACGGCAAGCCATCACTAAAAGTTCCCAAAATACAATTTTTATTAAAGGTTTAAAAAATTTAATAGACTGCCTACAGAAATTAAAAAAAAAAACAATAAATGTATTCAAAAGTAACCTCAAACAATACTTGATAAATAAACAGAACGGATTTACTTTCTTGTGATAATACTCTTTAAACCTGCCCTTTTCAGGTATTTCCCTTAATTTATTGTTATTTTATTCCTTGTTTTATCCGTATTTGTTATAGATTATTTGTTTTGAGATCATGTACTTTATTTTAAAAA